CAAAAAAAGGGAACCCAAACGGGCGACAAGTAGCCCAAACGGGCGACAAGTAGCCCAAACGGCCGACAAGTAGCCCAACCGGGCGACAAGTAGCCCAACCGGGCGACAAGTAGCCCAACAGGGCGACAAGTAGCCCAACAGGGCGACAAGTAGCCCAACAGGGCGACAAGTAGCCCAACAGACGTTCCAATAATGCGGGAAGTAGCGAAAAACCTTCCCGTACCCTCGAGAACACAGAAGCCAACACTAGTCCCAAAGGCACACGAAGGCGCAGGCGCACCCGAGATCAAAAGTCACGCAGAACCCCATCGAACGGGGAAACATGACAAAAACACCGTCCCAAAAAGCGGGGGAGGAAACATCCACCCACAGGACGGAACCAACCGACTCAAAGGCCAAGGAACCGAGCCCGGGGAGGGGCCGACGTCCAACAGCACGTACGGCGAGTGGGGAGGAAAGACCCCACTCCGCGTAACCACAAGCCCCGCCGAGAGGGGGATAAAACCCCCCACGGGGTCTAACGGGGCCAAGGCCCCCCCAAGTCAGCCCCTCCCCAGCCCCGGGAACCTACACGACAGGCCCCGGGGCCGAGCCGTTCCCCCAAAGCCCCGGCCGTACCAGAAAACCGGGGCAGCCGTGAAAACACTAAGGAAGGGAGCCCACTGGCAGACTCATACAACACGGCTGGAGGAACAGGCCCAAATGCCCCCGTCACTACCCCGGAAGGGGAATTCCCCGAGACTGCCCGAGTCTCAACACCACCAAACACCCCGCCCTGAACCTACAGACGGTAAGGAACCGGATACAGGCAGGAAGGGTGAACCAGGGGAAAGACAAGGGGGCGTGGATGGAACCGAAGCAACCAACACCCCCAAGTCCCAAAACGAAATACAACGGGGCAGCCCCGGGGCTCCCGGGGAGGAAACCACGAGAACGTTGCCACCACCAAGGCTCAAGTGCAACGCCCCTGCTGCCCGCACCCGCTTTGTTAGCACAACTGGGTAACCGAGCCACAACGAGCAACCAAACTCGCAGGACACCGGGTCGAAGGTGTCACCGACCCCACAGGCAGCAGACGGAGGCAAAACAGAGAGTCACCCAGAGACAAAAGGTGAGAGCAACCCTCAAACTCGCTGGAAGCGAGGGGGGGGCTCTGGGGTCACATCCATCGGACCCGCGCGCCCCCAGGGGTTTCCCAGGGTCCCGAGCGTTTACTTTAAGAGGACTCGCGCTCAGGTAATCCCAGGCAGGGTACTGCTAACCGGCACCCAAGCTACCAAACAACATTCTAAGAGCTGAACCCCCGGGACGTGTACACTCACGGGGACCTAGCAGGGGGTACCACCAGAAATACTCAGAACACAAGGGACACAAGGGGCAAGAACGAAGGCAGACCCCCCCACCAGGTATATAAACAAAAGAAAAAGAAAACCCCGCAAGAGGACAGCGTACCCAAGCGGAACAGAGCCGGCCGCTATGATTGGTAAAGACAAGCTGCACAGTACCCCGCGCCCCACCAGTGCAAACACTGCCCCTTACTCTAAGGCGAACAAGGGAGACAGAACACCCGAGCACACAAAGAGCGGCCGAAAACCAAGCGGTAAACGGCCAAGCAGGGGCAGGACCCAAGGAACTTGTGGAAGGTGGCCCCAAGCCCCAAGGGCAGTACTTACAGGGCACCTAGGGAAGGGAACCCTAGGCGCATGCAGCCCGAGTACTGAAGAATCACACCCGGCTCATGCCAAATATTAGCATATATATACCATATTTATAAATATTACCCGTTTATAAGGCCTCTGAGCACCGAATCCTACACACCATCTAATGTATTCTGTAATTATCAGATTCACTAATAATGCTTAAAATTTTATGTGTCATCGAGAAGACAGATATAAGAGTTATTATGAATCCATTACAGGGAATATAATTTATAGGAGAGTTAAGGCGTGCATATCTTAATAAGGGTTCTGTTGTCTGGAGAATTACCCCAAGTTCCCTAAAGCTTTGAAGCCCACCCAAAATGCCTCGCAAAATTATTTAAATAAAGAAGAAACATCACATTTCCTTAATAAAATGTTGGTACTGAATGCAGAATGTGAAATAACAGTCTTACTCAGGAATATACTAATTTTATAACAAAAACAGACAAAAATACATGGGAGGTGATGCCCAATCAATAGGAGCAGCAATTTCACATATCGGTGAACATATCGGTTACATATAGATATATTGGTAATGCTTAGCATTTTATATGATATCTCAAAGACAGAGATATTTAACATTATTGAGACCATATTTCAAGGAATATAGCTTATATGTGAGCAAAGATATAGCTATGCATCATTGGTGTCTGGACATTTTGAAGTTACCATAATACTAGCATCCTTCAGGCAGATGAATGTGATTGGTCAAATCTCCATCTGATGAATGGCTAAGCAATATGATAAATGATGTTACTCTCTCTTTGACTAGTCAAATGAGAAACACTAGTGACATCTATTGAAATGTAGGCAAACCAGTACAAAATTTGTAACTGCACACAAACACCTTGTTGAATCTTGCATAGGATTCTACTTACAGATTCCTTAAGAACCTACATGACACAGCCATTTAAGAAGAAAAACTCATGACACTTGGTGAATCTAGGTCCTAGCCTCTGCATGATATCAAGATGTGACAATCTAGGCATCAGGGAAAAGAGTGGGCTAGTAGTCTCCTGACCTAGATCCTGTATGGGCTGGGCCATCACCTCACTTAAGAAGTAGAGGGAGCAGTTGGTTGATATGCTTATTAGCTGGTCAGTTTTGTCTGGTCTGCATTTACCAAACCATTTTTTGATGAAGGGTCAAGTATTGTTTTATCTTTCAATGCTTTGGGACAATGTGGCTCAATACTAGGTTGTCTTCTGATCTCCATCTGCTCTCCGCATCATGGAGAGATGGGAAAGTCTCTCTCACAGGTGACTTGCATGACTAGTTTGTCAGGTAGTTCTCAGTACAATAAAGTTTAGGTTAGCAATGGGTGGATGCCAAACACAAAGGAAGGGGGACTAGACAACATGAACAAAGGCAGCTTATTTAAATAGAGAGGTGGAACAAAAGAACACCAGTGGATCCTAGATACTCAATCAAGTCATTGAGCTATAAGGAAATTTTCATACACTACACGGGTGGTCAGAAAGTGGAATGCACTGCATAAAGAAGTTATTGAAACCACTTTAATATAGAAAGATGTAATTAGGGAACAAAGTACATTATAACTGGCTAGGAGGCTAGATTTCACTTCAATGTAGTCATTGACATGTGTTCATGTTAGGATTATATCTACTCCCAGAGTATTGTATAGTATAAGAAACTTAGTATAAGAAGTATAAGTATAGAAACTTATTGTTTCTTGTACTTGCCTTCCCCTTATGGTGTTGTTAAATACAGGTTTCCTATTTCTTTTGCCCATTTTCATTACTTTACGCAAATGTTCCACAATCATTTTCCGATGACTTTTTCCAGTATTTTGCATGGAATGCATGTTAGTGACACTGGTCTATAATCTAATGCTTCATGTTTGCTCCCCCTTTCTTCAATATTGCAACTACATTTGCCTTTTCCCAGATTTCCAGTTGCTCTACTATCTCTAATGAAATGTTGAATGCTGTCGTTCATGGGTAACACAAGATCCCTGCAGTTTCCGTCAGTTCCCATCAGTTCCACTAGGTGTCTTTTTACCTCTTCTACATTAACTTCAATTCTGTTTAGTGTTGTTTTTGGTCATCTGTTGTCATCTCTTCTTGGCCACCAATATGGTTCCAGTTTGTAGACCTTCTGAAACTCAACAGGAGTTCTTTGAACACTTTGTTATTTACCAAGAGTGTTCCTTCCTGTCCATCTAGTCTGATCACAAGGTCTTGAACTGTTGTTTTGTTCTGTATAATACTGTGCAACAGCAGAGATTAGTTCTTTGGTTTTGCTACAATGTCATTTTCAAACTGCTGCTCTGCTGCCCACCTGATTTTTTTTTACTTATTTCTGACCCTTAAGTGCCTCCTATTTTCCTCTGTGCCCATGTGCCTATACTTTTCCATTATCTTTTTATCTTCTCATTTTCCTCCTTACATTGTCTGCTGAACCATTGGTTTGCTGTTCTCCTTTTCTCCTTTTGTCCATTTCCATCCTGAGAGGCATGAACTGTTCCATTGGTTCTTTGCATTTCTGTATTAAAGAGATCCATCATCCGATTTGCTGATTTTCCTTCCAGTTCTGTCTCGCATTGAACATGCTGCAGTTGAGCCTTAACCCTCATGTAGTCCTCTCTTCTGTAGGTCCACACCAACTGCTCTGTTTCCCACCTCATAATGTCATTTGGTTGACCCCACACAATAATTACCTCCTTGATGTAGTGCTATTATAGATGATCCATGACAAATACTCAATTTCCTACAAAACCCTTTTTCAGGGAAGCAGTAAAGTGATAACATACTGGTACTGGACTGTGATTGAGTAGCATTTAATTCTTTATTTTTGCAAGACTTAAAAGACAACTAGCAGGTATGTTAAATATTCCTCGATTGTTATATGATACATTAACTTTATTTGTCATATCACAAAACTTGTCAAAACAATTCTTTGCAATACTTCACTAGATGAATTCTTTCACAGCTGACTAGTTTTATGCTATTAATATAAAATATCAACGAGTTCATGGTATATGTGAATCAGACTTAACACGACTCCATATCAATACAAACATTATGAGTTCACTGAAAATGTTATATACTTAACACAAAGTACAGTAGTTTAAAATTAACAGGGATAAAGGAAATTCACAATCTGAAATACCTCTATACAATTAAAATCCTTCCTCAAATTACTATGAATTATATATATTTTGAGCACACACTAATAATAATCTGATACTTCACACAAGACACTAGGCATCAGCAGACCTTGTCTGAGCACTGCAATCATAATAACTCTTGGCACAAATTAAAAAAAAAAAGAACATACCATTTATTGACTGCGTTGATGTGGACTTCTTTTTCAACGAGCCTGCCACACCAGCCTCTGCAGGACCAACACTAGTACCACTGCCCCCCACCACGCCCCCAATGTTAGCCTGTGCCCCCACTGGCTTATCCGAGCCAGCCCGTTGAGGCACCATGCCATTCTGAAAATATGAAGAGAATGAGACCAGAATGAAAAACATGTCCAATAATAAAGATAATGTAAATGAATTAATATAAAAAGAGAGAGTTGGAACAAGTACTGATAATATGAAAGCTTCCCCATAGGATATCATGCTTTAAACTGGAGTGACAATTTACCTCATAAGCATTATTAGTTCCTTCCTCACTTGAGATTGAGGCCATACAAAATAACCTCTATTTATGATGCCTCCAGTATCTAATACCAGTTACACCAAAAAACCTAACCTAAATACAGGATTACACATACTTAGTAAATTAAATCTCACCGTTGGCTGGGCTGTGTACACTGTGCCATAACTTCTGGAAGGTACCTGACTGTCAGGTACTTTACCTTGTGTGCTCGTCAAGTAGTCTAGCGTTACAACACCTCGACGATCTGTAACACCAAGAGTCCAAATCAGTAACTAACTGAAGCTCTCTAAAAATAAACAATATTTCAGAATGAGTTCTCTAATTACACATCCTGTAAACTTTTTTTTTACTGCGAATTTCATATAACACAATTCTAAGAAATTCTTACCTATAAGGCTGGGTTGAACAGGGCCACACAATACGGCTAGGCAATTCAGGCAGAAGTTACCATATCCATATGGATTAAAATTTGCCTGTCCTCGTCGAGCAGTGAAGGAGCCCTTAATCTATTAAAAACAAAAAAATCTTGTACTGTATACATAATTTCTTATTTAGTTTCATAATTTCTTCGTATTGAAAATTCTGATACTACAGAAAAAACCCTCGATTTGTTTGCAAAACATGTTCATGGAAAATTGGAAAATACTGTGCATATCCAACTAATGGTTACCTGGAAAAACAGAAATATTCAGTATTTCACAGATATCCTAAAATAAGGTTATTTTCCACACCTATCTTACCACAAAACCAAGTGCTTGTACTAGCAAGTTATTTGGTGCCGTCTTTAATGAGTAACATATAATTTATAAGCAACTTCCAGCACTTCAGAACAAGATAAACATACAACACTGTCATATTATGTACTTAAATGCACCTCATTAGAAAACCATTTATAATGTCAAAACATCTGGAAAACATATAAGTGCCAAATCACTGGTCCCGTATTGGTTTCAATACAGGATGAATTAGTGTTACTAAAATCTATTCTATATTTAGTGTCTCACTAATATAAACAGTTTGAGAACTGCTGCACTACAGGCCAATTACCACTTCTTATATGGGTAATATATAGAACTTGATACTCACATCCTCATTTGTAGTTTGATTTGATGTTGTGAGGTAGGTGTGGAATCCTGCCAACCCTAGGATTGACCATACAGAGAAGAAGCATATGACACCTTCTATGACTGATGCAGGGTTATTCTGTACAGCATCCAAGAAAGTTGCACTCTCTTTCATAACTGAAGAGTAAGAATAATGATAATATTTGGCCACTTTATTTAGAGATGAAAGTAAAAAATAACTGGAAAGTCCAAAATAAGCCTAATGTACAGCTCATTAAATGAGACAATACAAATACAAGAGGTCACTGGGACATGAACAAAATATATGCATTATATAATGAGGCCATAACTATCAGAGGATATTATTTAGAAATGTACTGGCTCCAGGCAGAGCTTGCAGAGAAGGAAAATTCTCAAAATGACTACAGGTAAACTAGAATGGATGATGTAAAAGACATACAAGATGGATGTTTAAGACTTTAGAGACCATCTGTCAAATACAATAAAAATAATGTTATGCTGTGGCATTTTTTAAATACCCATTACTGCATTATTTGTGTATGTATAACCTGAAGGCTTCCCTACAACATAAATATGAAAATCATAATAAACAAAAGTCATGTCTTAATTATCCAATGTTCAGTAATTGACAAGTTTTTGGTAAAAACAGTATTGTATTGTAAGCATGTATCGAGACAATAAATATGTGCATGTAGAAGTGGCCCTATTCTTCTTTGATATTTGCAGGCAAAGAGTGTATGGTGGCGGTGGCGTTGGTGGCGGTGGTGGCTCGGCCAGTCACCACCAACTTTATGTACCTACTTATCAGTATGTACTTAGCTATCAGTGTCTATGGGCGAATGAGGTCTAGCTCTTTATGCCTCACCTACTAGCCTTGTTGTACCTGTTGCATTATAATTTAACTTTTCAGGCATTTAATTCTTTGGGGAATCTGGCCTTAAATTGTAGATGGAAATGGCTTTCACAACTACTAAGCTCAGAAGCTCTGGAACTGGTTGCAAGATGTAACAAAAGAGCACTGCTGCATTGTCCTAGGATGCAGATGATGAAATGCAAAGCACTGCAATGCAAGGATACAAAGCACTGCTGCATCAGCAGATGAACTGATCTGAGACCCGACGCTGGATCTAGTGGTAGGCATTCATTTCTATTTTTTTTTTTTATTGTTTGGATAGTTATTTGGTAGTTTAGTAGTTTTGTCCTATGAACCCAACAGTTGTCTGCAAAGCTTCACTGACTTTCTGGATGCTTTCCCAGCACAATGGTGGAATGTCATTTGCTTCCTGCATATGTGAAGGGGCCAGGTTTTGGCTCTGGTTCCTGGTGGGCCAAATCAACCTATGCAACTGATGTGACTGGTAGACTAGAGCAATCCCAGTGACATAAGAGTCCCATTGGTGACATGTAGCTTTCAGAAAGATTGCATTTAATTTCATTCAAAACTGGATTTTTTATAACTAAACCACTTTACATTATTTTTTAAATATTAAACCAAAAAATAAATAAAAAATTAATGCAAGCTTTGAGGGAAGAATTTGGCTTGGGCAGTGTTTGAGAGATCTAGGAGTTGTTCTGGAAAGTTAGCTGTCACCAGAGGACCACATGAAGGACATTGTGAAAGGTGTCTAAAAGTATTTCACTGAGAAGAGTGGAAATTGCCCTTCAAGCCATCCAAATTGCTCACAACTAACATGATTAACCAATTTTCAGTTAATCACCATCTTGGATAATCAAGACTATTCTGTGTGAGGAAAATGAACCTCTCTGTCAGCCTAAGTCCAGCTGCAGCTTATAGTATGACACAAGTACGGTACATAAATTATAAACATACAAACATCAGTGTACACTGAACTGGTGTGATTTTTAAATGAAGTAAAATTAAGAATGTGAACAATAATGTAATTAAGTACCTGGCCGCTAGTATTATTAGGTAAGAATACTCACATAAGACAAGATGCGCGATAACGCATGAGAAGATGAATACACAGAGAAAGGCTAAAGATATGATGAAAAGGTAAAAATATCGGTAGTTTCTCCTGCCAACACAATTCCCAACCCATGGGCAATGGTGATCAAATCTTTCTGTAAAAAAAAAAAAAAGGAATTGCATAATACATTTAGTTTCACATACAGTACAACTACTCATTAGACAAATTATCATCCTTGTAACCCATTTATAAAAACAACCACTATCTGAATGAATTAAAGTTCTAAGCCAAAGTCCATCAGTCTAAAAAAAAGAATGAAAATGTCATTTCTATCTAAATTAACTAGCATAACCTAACACATTCTTTACTTATACACAAAATATACACTAATTCCAATGTTCACAGCAGAATGGTGTGCAAAGAATTTCTTCCACACAGAAAGTTTGGCTAACATTATTACTAACATTAACACTAACATTACAACCTGTTGGGTGTATTCCTGCCCATAAACGTTCCAGGCATCTTAAGAGTTCTGCTCACTGACACCTAAAATGTTTACACACACTTAACACATGGCTTGGTCATCTTGAAATGCACTGACATGGTTTAGTCACCTTGAATGAACAGAGAATGATGAAAGAAGATGCAGCATATTTGAATAAATATAATGCTATGAGAAGAGAAAGGCCAAGAAGATGGGCAGATATGTTTCGAGTCTATGAGGAAATAGTGCATTAACAGAGCACAAGAAATGATAGGAAACAAGACTAAGCTGAAACAGTTTATTAAGAGCAAATAAAGGCAAATATATATATATATATATATATATATATATATATATATATATATATATATATATATATATATAGTTTTTGTGGTGGATGATTTTTTTGGAGTGTTGTAATGTTTGTCTCCATGATGCTGCCAAGGGTGGAAGGTATGGTGAATGGACAGGTGATATTTATGAATCTAATTTCCCCCTCCCATGCTGCTCTCCAATTCACTCTAGTCAAATATCTCCCCGCCAAATGAAAATGGGAAATTGACAATAATAATAATAATAATAATAATAATAATAATAATAATAATAATAATAATAATAATAATAATAATAATAAAAATAAAAAAAAAGGCTGCTAGGACTATATAGGTAGACACGAACTTATGACCATGGTATTGCCAAGCCGCATATTCTACCACTAGACCAACGTGACTTGTAAAAGTCATACAACCGGATTTCTACTGAAATCACAGGAAGTCTTGAGCCAGTCCAAGTTTTTACGGATAACCCACAAGCACACTCATGGAAGGGCAGTGGTCCCACACCTTACGCCCCAACGTATTCTGAAGTTGGGGCGTAAGGTGTGGGACAACTCTACCCTTCCACCCAAGTGCTTGTGGGTCATATGTAAAAACTTGGACTGGCTTCAGTAGGGGCCTCCAGACTTCCTGTGATTTCGGTAGAAATCAGGTTGTATGACTTTTACATGTCGGCAGTGGTCTAGTGGTAGAGTATGCGGCTTTGCAATGCCATGGCCGTAGGTTTGCGCCCACCTATAGCCCTAGTGAATTTTATCATTAATATACTGTATATATCATGTTAATGTGATTTCTGTGTGTTTAATAATAATGATACATGACTGACAATGAACTCTTAGGAGCTGTAATAAGCAGCACCAAAAGTTTATATCCACCTAACAATTATTACTATCATTCTGAATTTTGCACGAAGAGTTCCACCACTTACCAACACAATTGTCGCAGATTGAACAATGAGACGCTCTGGGTGGTCGGAATATTTTGCAAGTAAAACAGTATTTAAGCTTTACTGTCACACCATTTACAACAATTTCTTTAGTGCGAGGTGGAGGGCGGAGTCTGGGACCATTACCAGAGTTGGGCACCTCTGTAGGAAATAAATGTTCATATAACAAGTAATAAAAATGTATTATATTAGTATTGTATACACAGCATTACTTCCTATCAAAATAACATTCACAGTTACATTAGAATAATGAATACTATCCAAGGAAGAGAGAGATTTAGGAGGAATGTGTCTAATTTTTCAATACTTTTCCCCACCCAAATGGTCTCCAGATTTTGTCCAGGTAATTTTTTGCAACTACATACTTGAGTCAATATTTACATTAGAATATAGTACGAGTTAGCCTAATACGAACATATTTTTATTGGTTTATCACAAAGAAAGTTACCAAGGGCAAGCATTCTGGGTACACTACAAATTTTCAAATATACGTACAAGTAGTACATTCCATAATGATTGCGTACATTACAAAGCAGCTGATGCTCTACAAAATATATCTACAAATCAAAATATTCTAGTACTGTACTGTATTAGTGACTAGAAATAGATAAATCATATTAAGGATGCTGGGGGTGGTACTGACCTGATTCCACTAAAGTAAACCACAAGACACACAATTATATTGAATAGTCTTATAAAGACCACTCATATTTTATTTTTAACAGCAACCTTTGAAACAAGAAACCTTCCGAACAATATATTATACAGAACTGTGGATTCAAATGCATGTTATGTATGTACCAAGTCTTATGGAAATAATATCAAAGACAAAATATTCTGAAATATATCCAATAATTATGTATCAATCGATTTGATAATGCCACGTGTACAATTTTCTCCAATTCGACAATGAAACACGGTACATTATGCCCAGTGACTTAATGCAGCCTAGAACAGAATCACCACTACCAAATAAGCCAACTAGCCAGTAAAGCAACCAGGTTTGGCAGTGGCATCAGATTCTGCTGAAGGTCAGCAAGTACTTTCACATGCATCACTTGGAACAGCTAAGTTTTAGCCTCTCTCAAAGATGATGTTCAATTGTCAAAGTAAATCATCTATCAAATGGTATGAATGGCTAGGCCAAAGCATTCCATTACTATTGTCAAGTTATTTTATAGGCTGGATGGCCAAAGAATAATGAACACTATGACAATATTACAGCATTACAATATTTGTAATGATCAAGAACTGTCGGGAGACTTAAAACAACTTTCTATTTTAATTCGTTAGACACTAAAATACTTGTTGCATATGTAGTTGCATGGATATACAGTAGTGCATCATAAAAATATAAGAATAGAATGGCATCTCCAATTTTGGATTACATCATTCCAGACCCATTCCAGGTTTGTGTGAAATCGACCCCTTCCCCCTCCCTCAAATGAAAATGAACCACAGAATTTGGTTTGAATACAGTACTGTACTCAACATTGTCATTTATTAATTTCCAGAGCACTGTGGTTATAGTCATTTGTCAATTTTTTTTATCACTGCCTGGCAATGATGTAAATATGTTTATAATAAACCTATATGGACATATTGGAGTTAACCAAGACCCATGACAAAATTCTACTATCGTTTTCTAATTGCTAACTACGTGATAAAGTTATCATGTACAAGAAGTTAGTAGTTATTGTCAAATGATGACTTGATCTTTGCCACCAGTGAATCTATCCCAGGACTTACTCTTTTGTCTTTTATTTACTTTTTTGCATGCAAATGTATTTTTCTAAAAGGGCATGGTTTATTGGGGGGGGGGGAGGGAAGCATGGCACAATTTTGACGAGAGCCACTTGTCGAGGGTTAAGTATGCTCATTGGGTTTCTCACTGTACAGTAAACCAAAATCTGAAGATGGTAAAAACCTAGAAGTGGAAACCAATGCACACAGAATGCCATTTGCTCAGGCTGTATTGGTACTTTTACCTATTATCATTATATCAAAAGACAAAATGCATATTCTCTCTAGGCTAGGAACACATTCACTTACAAACCATAACCCTAGATATAAAATCTTACCTATTTGTTTCTCAGTGTAGATAGCTTCATCAGCTGTGGCTCTTGGAATAATGCCAGGATCAGTGAAGGAAGTATGGAAGAGTGAAGACATGACGAAAATAAACAAAAGTGCCCCAAATGCTGGTATGGCCGGTGTCAAGTTTTCCGCCAAGAAGGGACAGCTGGGGGGAAAATACTTTTATTAGACAAGGTTTAATAAAAGACCAAACAGCAAAAACTGCCTTTAATAAGGCAAGATAAACATCTTAGATTATATATTTTCTTATGGTGCATGATACTAGTTGTAAAATATGAGGTACATCTATAGTATTATCACATGCAATTCTGGTTGCTTGTATAGTACTGTAATAACATTCAAGTCATAAAATATTTGTACTGTATATACATAATGCACAGTGCTGCACAAAAAGCAACTAAAGTACTGTATTGCAAAATAAAAAATTACTCAGGATATTTTTCACCTGCATGTTAAACTAACACTTACTCAAAGATAAAGAATAGTACATTTGTGACAACAATGAGTCCAACTGTGAAGTAAAAGATGCCAGTCTGTTGTGCCATCATTATGCGACCGTCGCAACAAAACTTGTTGCGACCAGGAAAAATTTGCCATTTTCGTTTCACACTTGCCATTTTCACCTGTCGACGAAAAACACTTATTTTGGTACTGCTATTGATATTATTTTACCAAAAAGTTTAATGATATTCCTCATACAACTAAATACAAGACGTTTTTGGGACAAAATACAGTATTACTGAAATGAGAAATGAGTTAGAGATTTCTTGCCAGAAAGATAGAAGCAACAAGTGATTGTCAGTATGGAGGACAGTCACAAGTGTGTCCCACAAGGACTTGAACTAGGCCCTATAATGTTTGTGATTTAAGTTATATAAATAATTTACCAAAAGGGTTCAAATAATCACTATACAGTACAGTATCTTATATGAATATACTGTACACTAAAGAATGGGAAAACAATATTTGCAAAACAAGTAATCAAAATGACTAAGACTCTCAATTTAAACAAATTAACCAAATGGAGCAAAGAATGAGTGATGGTTTTCAGTGTTATGAAATGCCACATAATGGAAATGGGGGGGGGGGGAGGAAATGCAGTAAAAAACTTAGACGCCGTGAGGATCATACAGGATGGTCTAAACATCTGGGCATCCCCTGAACCTCAAATAAAAATAGTGTACAAGAGAAATAATTCTTTGCATACTGACACTGACATACGGTAACTCATAATGAAGCAAACTAACATGATCAATGTGCCCTCCAATTCCTTTACACTACCAGTATGATGCATAGGATGATTATGGGATGCACCATAAAGCAGATGCTGCTAATGTCAACATCAATCATGTGCAATATGACTACACATCTGGGGAACTTAGCCTAGGTCAAAGCTCATGAATCTTTATTAAAAAGTCATCGCAAATGGAGACATGTTGTCATGAAAATGAAGTCAGCAGACAGACATTTTACATTATAAATCAATCCTTTTGTTAGACTATTTCAATGCAAAGGCTGCCAAATTTTTATTTGGCAGCTATTTATAGCTACTATATCTATATCTATTTTAGCTATATCTATATGATGCAAGTACAAGGCAGCTATATCTATTTTATTTTCTTTATATGCATCATTCATTAGAGTATCATTGACTGATGGTTGAACCAGATATTTTGACCACCCTGTAGATTGTGTGAAAATCAGAAAAAAAAATTAATTCTCCGATTTTTGGGGTTTTAAATAGACCTAAGTGTTTAAGCTATAGATTGGTGATACAAGAGCAGCTCAGGCAGCTACTGAGGGGCACCTCCAAGAAAAAAGGAAATAATGGTAGATGAGCAGAATGGATTCCACAAGACTGTGCACTAAAACTGTAGAAATTTGAACATGAGTTATGATGAAATTTACAAAGGCAATGAATGAGACACAGTGAACACAGTTCTTTTCCTGTAGCAGCAACTATATAATTACACATTTATTCTAGCAATTGGGCAGCCACACATAAGGTAGACAACTACTGCTGCCAAGACAACAATATAAATTTAATGAAAAAATTACCTTTCTGTAACTGTAAACATGAGGAAGAATAGTGGTGTATACTCCTAAACAAGCGTCCTGAAACTTTACCACCCACCTCACCCCCTGTATTAAAGTTACTCTGCTTCCCTTAACATGCAACACTCCTACATAACAGTAGCACTTTTATGCAATGCAACTTTCATCTAGGTTATATGATGAGTAACACGTAATTGTTTACATATTGCTTTACTGGGTATATATTTGACAAACTTTTTGGTAACAAATTCTTTAATGTCATTGTCTACCTCCTGCAATCTGAACCCTAAGAAGGCAGCTTACATCAAATGATGTGTAAAGGTTCACCTGAGGTCAATGCAGAATACTTCAACTTCAGTTTTATAAAGTAAAAACTCCTGAGAATTGAGCTCTAATAAATTTCTATAGTTACCAAGATTTGACATATCTCTGGCTTTTATTACCTAATAAGAAGATAAACCTTGTTATTATACATAAAAGGTAATTAATGAAAGAATTTCAGAGAATGTGACATTATAATGTCCAAAAATATTTATGCAAAACAGTATTAAATTTTAAACCATTTTTATTTTACTCACCCATATTTAATTCTACAAGGATTATACACTTAATCCTAAAATACTGTAAATGAATGCAAAATAGGGGGTAACTACATTTTATAAAAATTTTAATGTTACTGATAATTAACAGTCCCGTGGCACAATGGTAAAACACTCGCCTGGCTCTTCGTGAGCGCTTTGGCATGGGTTCGTATCCTGATCGGGGAGGATTGACTGGGGTGCCAATCCTTAACTGTAGCCCCTGTTTACCCAGCAGTAAATGGGTACGTGATTTTAAACGATTTGGCGAGTCGTATTTCGGGAAAATTAGGATTGAGGACCTGCCCAAAATTATGTGCATGCTAGTGACTGTACAAGAATGCAAGAACTCTTGTGTGCATATAAATAAATAAATAAAATGTTCAGTTTAGTTCAGTACTAATATATAAGTTCAGTAATATGTTTATTGTTTGTGATGTGTGTCTATGTATGTATTAACACGATGTACTGAATGGGGTGAGAATAGCTTGAGCTACCTCATCCCTTTGTGTGTATTTTACCTCAATAAACTTATTTCAATTTCAATTCAATTTCTGTATATAAGAAAATACTGAATATGTAATTTTTTCATACTTTTTAATTTTGATAATACAGTACTGTACTTTTAAAAAATTTTAGAAATAAAAAAGTTCATATTTTTGGTACAAATAATTTCAGATTCACACATGGAATGAGTCGACTTAACTGTTGACTTTAAAGCTTATGAGGCACAATCTGAAATTTATTTTTCACAAGTATTATGAGGACACTAAGCACTAGACAATGTACCCTGTACTGTATTTTAATTATTGCTGCAGAATGTTAAAATAACCTCATCCCTCGCTTTTTTTTCCTTACCAATTTAATTAACTCTTCGGTTGTGATAAGCAACATTTTAAGTACCTAGAAAAAAGTGTTTCACAATTATAACATTTACCAAGTCCTGTTGCCGTCAAAACAATTCCCTGAAGCCAGTAAATGCTTCCAGCAGTTGGCGACAGAATCAAGTACAGCAGTGGCATGTATTCCCAAGAAGCAACGTAAGCAGTGCTTTCTCTATAAAATCCCTTCCAAATTAAAACTGCTTTACTTATTTAACACATTATTTAATTCAACTGCACGGGGCAGTCTGCATTTCTTTTTGGTTTCAGATTTTCACGTATCATTTGTAGCTTGAAAATCTGTCTCCTCAAATATGCAGCATTCCATATGCAGAAACCTCCACCCTCTTTCAGAATAAAATAATATGCCACTGCCTGATATAAGATAAAAACAATTAATTCAACTTATGTGACTACCCTTTTTCCAAAACCATGTAAAAGGTTCAGATCAAACTAATATGTTGAAGAAAGTATTCTGATGCTGGAATGTCCCCTTACTAATATTTGTTATTATTACTGTGTATAATTAATATTGCTAGAAATTTGAACAAACAAACACATCATTCTCCTGGGCTCCTTCCCTACTAGTAGTGTGGAAGGGGGGGGGGGACAGCAGCAGCACAGCATTACCAATTTGTTAAATTCAACCATAAATACTTATCCATAAATAATAATTATCTAACCTTTATACTGTTTTGCAGTTTTGCAGACTATTGGACTCATTATCATAGTACTGTACAGTACTGTACTTGAATGATAACATTAGTATTTTGGAATGTAATAAATTAATAATGGTAGAAACTTATTTGAATCTGCTTTAACCACATGGGTTGGATGGTAGAGCGACAGTCTGTCTTTATGCCTGTCGGCGTTCAATCCCCAATTGTCTAAGCGCTTGGGCACCATTCCTTTGCCATGTCCCATCCCAAATCCTTATCCTGTTCCCTTCCAAGTGCTATACAGTAGTTATAATGGCTTGGCACTTTCTCCTGATAGTTCCCTTCCCTAGATTTTGTTTTGAAAGAGATGGTATCAGTGTGTGAGGTTACTGTCCATGTCAACACTCAACTTAGGAAAATAAGCTGATTAGAAGAGATGATGTGATACTCTCATGAATTTACAGTATTTGTTAATGGAAAGTGGGGTCATACAGTACTGCATTAGCTCTATCCAGTTATTAAATAAATTATACTAAAAGTTACATAATTTTTCAAGTGTCCTCTTGCATTTATTAACCACTTTAAGAATTTGATTTATACTAGTTTAGCTTGTAATGCCCATTCCTTATCTAATCCAACCACACATTGGTCATCCCCAATAGCCCCAAACAAGCCCCTTAATATGTCTATGCTTTCCTGCACTTTCTCAATGAGTTGAATAAGCGTATACAATACTTGTTAAGGTAAAGGTTAGCTTCGGATACAAGTTAATACAAGCTAGTTGACAAGCGGGTAAGAAATGTGGCACCTTGTTCTCAAACCTATTTGGAATCCTCAATTCAGTCATTCTTTATAAAAATATACAAAATTAGTGTTCTACCGAGTGACATGTACACTAGTGAGAGAACATATGCAAACACACTTCAGAGAAAAACCAAAAGGTAAGAATTACTGATCATTTTTTAGTAGTACCTGCTGCTAAAGCATTGTGTTCCTGATGTACTGGTTACAGCAAGCTGCAGCGTGCTGCACAGGATCACTGCATGATTCAAAATATAAAAAGGTGCACATGCCTAGGTTTATAATAAATTAGAGAAGTAAAAATTAACAAAAATATTTTAATTTCTTGGGACTTATATAGAAATGTATTAGTGAACTTCTTCCTTAGAATGGTATTTTAACCACTAAATACTAAGTGCTTAGTGTGAAAATTGCCTAAACAAAGACTAATTAGCATATCTGCAATGCCACGCTTGGTATAGGCATTTAAATTAGCTAATTTAGACACAATAAGTGTTCTTAAAAAGCAACCTAACCTAACTGCATGACAGCTTGTAGGTGCAAATAATTACAAAATTTCCGTACCTTTAATATTTCAGCAGTCATTGCACGAATGTTGCTTCTACTCCCACAACATGAACACATACGCATGTAACACAATTACAAGCACATTATTTGAGACTAGATCCACGCCTAACAGGGTAGTTGTATCACAAATGACGCACTGTGTGAGAACTGCGGCGTCAATGCAAGCAGCTGCTGGACTGGATAAAACTGGCTGCCGAAGAGGGAGACGTGGATTTATGAAGCTGTGCTGCTATACAGTATATCCAATCTGTTGTGAACTGGAGAATATTTCCTCACTAAATATCCTTACACTTTAAATGCCTAGATTTGTTATTTCGACACCAACTCACTGATTATTTAATGTCACAACTTCCTTGAGAAACTTTGTCAACACTAAATTTTTTATGCACAAACTATTCAGTCGAGGTGAACGCACGACCTCTGAGGCTCACCTTGGTCTTGGGGTGCACGTCCTTCGGAGAGGTTGCATCTAGGTTGTCAGAGGACGAACTGGCACTCGACTGAACGCACTTGTTGTCCAGGAGGTGGTCACTGGACTGTGTGGGAGACTGAGACGGTGACTCGAGGGCCACACGCTGGTATATTCCTTCCTCCAGCATGAAGGCAGCAATATAGGGGAAGCTTTGTCACCTCCACCTGGACAGGGCTTTGAAGCATTCACCTAGACAGGTCCTGGACACCCCCAACCTGGACAGGCCCTAAAATTTTTTGACTGGACAAGATTTAACACTTTCACTTGGACGGTCCTCAAGACCTTCACTCGAGCAGGTCCTTGGAAACACCTTCACACGGGTAGGTCCTTCGCAACACGTTCACCTTAACAGGTCCTATGAAACCCCTTCATAAGGTAAGGTCCTACGCAAGAACACCTCGACAAGCACAAGACTGGGAGCGGAGCTAGAGGAGCACCGCCCTGCGCTCGTCATACCCGTGCAGGCGGGTGTCCAGTGGCCCCGGTCACCGCAGGAGGCGAGGCTGCCCTCCACGACACAGACACAGCAGCTGGGGAGCCTGGCGAGGCGCGACACATCTGACGACCTCCTCCACCTTCCTCCTGCAGGGTGTGTTCAACACCAACACCATAAGTCCGGGTCGCGCACCGCCTCCACCCCCTCACCTCCCTCAACACTCCCCACAACACTCATAGTCACCACAACCTCTACATCTAGCATCTCCTCAGACAACCACAAGTTTCCTCAAGGGTGATTACGCCAATATACGAGGTGGGAGAGGGGTAAATGGCCTCCTAATTCAGGAGAGGAGCTGGCAGAGCCACCTGTTGGCCACAGAGTTCCGCCACTCCCACACCTGGAAATACCGACGATTGACGATGAGATAAACACCATAAAAAAAATATATTTTTTGTTGTTGTAATGTTGCTAATCACTTGTGGCTCAACTTTCTAATATTTTAGTTGTTGTTGTTTACATATCTCTCTTGTAGACAAGAGAGCCATGGAAACTGTGTGACAGGGAGGTTAACGAGACCTTGTGGTAGATTGCGTGGGATAGATTTCTTATTAAGAAGCTTAGGTACATAGATGAGTAGTTAAACGTGAGGAATAACACGCTACACAGGACACCAAGTTATACCTTTATCTAATATACCCACCTCACAAAGTGAGTCATTATACATGGAATCAGATAAAAATAATCACGAGATGTGAGTTGATGCCTGAATTTACCTGAGAGCCACTATCTCTCTGTATGGGGTGCATAATAAATGAACCAAACTAACTAAACTCTCTAGTGGCCTCGACGATGACAGAAAGCCGACGGCTTGTCGAAGGTACCCCTATTTATCCTGATAGGGGAAACTATTGTAAAATTCTTCCGAAGTACCTTCTTGTATATAAATAAATAGATACAAATAAATGTACGGCTTCAGCGGTTCCATGGGTTTATTTACCTGAAGGTCACTAACACTAGTAGCCTGGACAAGCACAGCTAGAAGCCGGAGGCTTGTCAAAGGTCCCCCATTTGTCCTGATGATTTTGTTTCAAGATGAACTTTAATGTTTAGCAGAGTTTTGGCATTATCGGGTTCGGCGGGTAGGCGATTCCATGAGTTTATATCCCTGTAGGGTGAAAAAACATCAGTTTTCTGTCCTACATTGTGGCTCGTTGTACTTGAAGCCGTAGCGCCTTGTTTGTGCTATATCTAACCTGACAAGGAAATTACAAGTACGTGGAATAAATTATTAAATACTGGAAAGGATAAACAAAGAAAGCAAAAGGTCGCCCTAAATAGAAATGAATCTGACTGGAAAAATGTGGTGAGTGGAGTACCGCCATGATCCTCTCATATTATATGAATCAATGACATTGGTGTAAATATTACAAACCACATCATTAAATGTGCAGATAACAGTAAGATCTATGTAAAGTAGAAAACGAAAACACTACTGAGGTCTTAAAGAGAGATCTACGTGGTCAAGTTGCACAAAACGTAAAAAAACTGGCATATGGTTTTCAGTATTGAAGAATTCAAGTCCTTACTTGTAGGGCATAACAATGTACATCACAACTGTCATATAAACCACATTACCATGCAGCAGATTTATCAGGAAAAGGACACAGGATTCACCAGTCATTGAAAGTTGCACAACAAGTGGGTTCTGAAAAAAAATCAACCAAATCATAAGAATAAGCAAACGAATCTTTGACTTCAAATAAGTAAATGTGGTTATTGAACTCTACTGGTTTCTGGTTCGCCTCTGTCTAGCCTACTGCATCCAAGCACAGAGACTTCCGTTCAAAAGAACATATATGCTTTGGATAAAGTTCAACAAAGAGCAACAAAACTCATCCTAATACTAAGTCAACTCTCCTACCAAGAACGGTTGAGAGCCTGCAAACCAGAGATAACAGAGCTGATCTCAATGAGACTTAAAACACTAAAATAGTTGTAGAGGAACTGGCCGAAGAACTAATTCTCTCATTGAAACTCCTAACCAGAAAATCTTTGGACCAAAGGAAATTCCTCCGTGATTGGAAATAGGTAAATGTCACTCCCATCTTCAAAAAGGCAGAAAGAGCATGATCAGCTCCACGCTCAACAAGTCACAATGTAAGACAGAAAACATGTTTTGCCACCAATCCTTATCTATAAAATCGATGTCTGTCTGTCCAAAGCAGGATGAGAGAGGCTAGTCTCGCCCAACTTTCCAGGATGATATATAGGGGGGGAAGAGAGAGAGGGATAGTGCAGTGTTGTGAGAGTTTCAACCTCATTACTCTATCCATTAAACAGTTGAAAAGTAGGGGGCTGAATATGCCTCCTTGTGGTGTACCGTTTTCATGTCTTTTGTATTCAGACTGTGACTCTTGCTTCTCTGTTTATGAGACAGTTTTTGGTCCAGGAGAGCAGGTTGCCTTTGTTCTCTTTGTAGATGAGGTTGCAGAGAATAACTTTGGCGCTATCCAGTTCAAAAGCTTTCTCGAGGTCCAGGAATATCAGTATTCCTGGTCTGTGGTAATACATTCCACTGTGTCAACCCTTTTTCTATAGACATACATGTCCTAGTTCAGTTTAGGCATTTTTCACTCAAGTCTGTTGAGTGCCATTCTGTCACCCATCTTGGCTGAACAGCTTTGGAGAGAGATGGGTCCTTATAGAGAGGAGAGTATTCTCTCTACACGAGAGAAGGAAAGAAGGACTACACTTTCTTTCCCCAGCTTACCCCCTTCCCCCCAAAGAAGTTAATAATTCTCAGTCCAATCACTATGGTATTGCAATATACAATGTGAGGAGTTATGTTCTGAGTGTCACGTACGTGGCTCTCTTTGATTTAGTACCAATGACTCCATCCATGTTAGGCACTTACCGAACAGCAATTACTGGTTAACACTGGGTGAAGCTGTTCCAAGTGTCTAGCCTCCAACCTCGGACAGACAGACAACTTAAAAACTATGATCTTTGTGTGCAACATACCTTCTTCCGGAGTAACCATCACAACATTCTCAAAACCAACCGTCGTGAGGCGTTCCACGGCCTTTTCTGTCCCAACTGTTATGTATGGCCGATGAAGACCCTCCTTGAAGAGTGGTTCATAGTCCAAACACTCCTTAGCCAGATGTACCGTCCACTCCAGCTTTTGGTGGAAGTTCAGTTGGCATGTTGTAGGGAACAACAGCCTCTTCCTTCTATTAAATTGCTTTTCTTGCGTCCTGCTGAGTAGGGTTTCACTTTTTGGTCTCTGTTATTTCATCCTCACTCTGTCTCTCTGTGAATATTTCGCCGTTTATTTCTGCTCATTACTACTTCAAATGGCCTGTTATTATCTTGTCTGCCCTCCTCACTATCACTTAGGCATACCGACTCAGCCATTTCCTCGACACTCAAAGGCACTGTCAACAATCGAGAACAAATTCACAATATCCAGCTATAGCAGCCACGTGCAAAAACGTAGAGTGTGAGGCAATACTCCACCTCCCACCAAGCAGCGGACACCAGCGCCAACACTGCGCCCGCATACGACCGCGGTCCGGTCACAACTGTGATGAAGATTAAGCCACCCAAAAGGTGGCACGGGCATGAATAGCCCGTAAGTGGTGGCCCTTTTGAGCCATTACCAGTATCAAGAGCTGATACTGGAGATCTGTGGAAGTGCGACAGCACCCTGCGTGACAGGAGATGTTTCCCGTGTACGTCCGTTACGTTATGATAAGGTTTTATACCATAATGAATTAGATAACTGGAGTTCTGCTATTATATTTTTTATCTAATGTTGAGGATATGTAAGATATATATATAAGGTTTTGAGGCTAGGTAATGATGATAGAGTTACAAGATGCGAACTAGAAGGTGTTGAGATTGCGAAAAGGATTATGATTATAATTTAAACCAAAAAATCAATCCATAAATGTTTAAAATAAAGCAAATAAGACGCTGGGATTTATTATTCGAAACGTTAGTAATATTTTACGTTTTCTAGTTCTTTCTTTTTCAAATTGTTTATTATTAGTAATGGGGATGATGTCTCAGGTGTTCACCTTAGAACATTATGTATTAACTTGTCAACTTATTGAAAACTATAGAAATAAGGAAATAAATAGTGTACCACAAAAAATTGTTTGTATGTGTGATAATGGTATGATAGACAGTATACTTAGGAGCTACAAGAATTTTGCCCCAAGAGTGTAACAATTATATGCTATGCTTACTATATTAACCTGCAATGTTAAAAGGGATTTTTGTAATGTTATTTGTCTATTTGTACTCACAGCATTTGTGTGCCCCTTGAGGGACTTGAAGTAGAGGGGGTAGAAATAGCCTAAGCTACTCTATCCCTTTGAGATGTATTTATTGCTTATCTCAATAAACATACTTGAACTTGGTGTTCACACTCACGTATATACTAACTCTATCTAGAAATCCAACATTCTGTTTGTAACTCATCTTGTATGTATGTACTTTTACCTAAATAAACATTTTACCTGAATAAACCTGCCAGAAACCAGAATAAACCTGCCAGAAAATTATTAAAGTAATAATAATGTATTATTATTACTTTAAACACTGATCTATACGTCTGGAAGCTTATAATAAGGTTTTATACCATGCTGGTATTAGGTAACTAGAATTCTGCAATTACTTTTTTTTATCTACTGTTGAGGATACATAAGACAAATGTAAGATTTTGAGGCTAATTCAATTTCTTTCTTTATTATGCATCCCATACCCATGCCGTGGGCGGTGGTGTAGATAGATCTATAAATAGATGAACAACTTTCAAATATTGCACCAAGTAATGACGAGAGGAAAAAACTAGACAGTATACATTACATTTGTAATTAATAATGGATGAATGGTAATAAGTTAATGTACAATTTGTGTGTAAACCAGACAAAGTCTATATCTAATGGCAGAGTTTAGCCATTTTGTGTAACAACTTTTATTTATATCTTATATTTGTGTATAGTAATCGAAAGAAGTCAGTTGTATATACAAGAGATGAAACAGAAAGTCATGAGCTAGATCGATGTGTTGAACGCTCCTCGTCCATAAAGAGGCGCAGCTTCCACAAATACATTCCTGTGATTGGCTGTTGCGCGGAATGCCAACACTCTATTATGAACAAAATATAAACTAAGAAATACGTTCTTTCTTACAACAACAAGGTTGTTGTAAGAAAGAACAACAATTTCTGTTTTGTACCTGACAGAAATTTCCATCTAACTGAATCATTTAGTGCATTAAGACGGCGAAGCATCGTATCATCAATATTATTTGTGTCGAGGCAACACCCACTGTTGACGTCACAAGTTAGGTAGCCAGGCCATGTTTATATAACACCTGTTATATCATGCAATATTTGATTAT